ATTCACCACAATTCTTGATTTTAATACCGCTTGGAATGTTGTCGTTGTCTTGGAATCTGTCAGCAATGCACAGCAGTGGTGTTGAGTCGACGGGAGGGAAAGAGGGGACGGGGGTGGGGGGAGTGTGAAAGGAACTCATGAATTTCACACCGAACGCGCATGCTCCATCTGCGATAGGTCTTAAGTGACGTCACTTTGTATTTCTCGCACGTAGTTGCAATGGATGGCGCGAGTCACGTGTGTGACTGTGGGCGGCCTTTCATGTCATTACGGACGATGAACTCACACCGAGCACGGGCATGTCCATCCGCTGTGGAAGATGGGAGCAGGAGACAAGAGATAGTTGAGGAGGTTATCGGTCGACCATCAAATAGTGGTCCCATTAATCTGGTCAGTGGGGAAAGCGAGGAGGTTGAACCCCCTCTCGATGTAGAAGCAGACTGCGCATCCGAAGAACAGCAAGAACAACACACAGAGGCATTCGACAGCTCCCGCAAACTTGCGGCATTGATTTTCTCATGTAGGGGCGGTGTGTCCCAAACTAACGTTGACTGTCTGTTGTCACTCCTCAAGAATCCTAGATTCGACCCAAGAAATATCGCATTTCGTAACAGTCGTGAGTGTCTAACATGGGCAAGCCATCAGGCAGAGGTTGCAGGGTGGCAAGAGAACAATCTACGCAGTGATGATTGGCCCGAAGAAGCGCACGCCATTTTGTAGTACCTCAACTGACGCACAACGTTCGCTGACCTTGTATGTGCTGCACTACACAACGTTGAAACAGTTTCTTGCCTCGATATAGAACCTCCCGGGGAGGGGATCAACATATGTGGCTCTCGCACGGGCCAGTTGAGTCACCATGTCCAAACTGTTATCAGAGCGGACAAGGGTGTGGGCACGAATGGTAAAACACGTTATGTCATCCCTCTGTCTCTGTATTCAGACAAGACTCATGTAGACGGTCGTCAAAAGCAGTCAGCGTATCCTCTGATGATGTCAGTAGCCGATCGCGTATCGGACGCCACACTCCTTGCGTATCTTCCTTTGCTTCAACACCGGCCACGTGACAAGGTCTAGGGTCTGCACTCCACCGCGTTTAGAAAACGGAAAGCTGTGATATTGCATAAAGCGTTGTCAATAGTATTGCGGTCCGCAAAGGAGGCATCCCATAACGGCATGATAGTTACAACGGAGCGGTTTGGCAAGATAACAGTTCACCCTTTCGTCATGAACTATATACAGGACTATCCTGAAAGATGTGCCCTTGCAACTGTAAAATTCGGTGTTTGTCCAACATGCACAGTGTCCAAAGACGATTTCGATGTCATCGCCGATTTCCCCAACCGCAGGAGATCGCAGACGCTAGACACGCAACTTGCTGCGAACTGCTTCAACAATGGGGACAACGATATTCGCCGTGCCGCAGAGGCACGAATGTCAGAATTGAACATGCAGAAGCATGTTCAAGAGAACGACCTTTGGGGATTCTATAGGGGTCCACATGGTGACGATCCTCAACTAGATTACCATCTCGCTTTGCAACCGGACCGTATGCACACCATTGAACACGACATTTTCTTGCATATGATAGATGCATTCAAGGTAGCAGCTTATAAGAAGTTGCCGGATATCGCGCAAAGCGAGATATTGCACGAAATGGATGCGAGGTTGCAGAGCATCAGTGAGAGATGTGTGAGGACATACCCGCAGCTCGTGTTGCCCGTGGCCACAAGTTGTGATTTCTTTTCAAGGGAAAGACGATTTGAAGCGAAGCAAAATCGGTCTGTTATGACAGTTTGGGTGTTTATTATTTGTGATGTCATCCCGCGTGCGACAGACAAATCCATTTCTGCTTGTTTCATCAAACTCATGGAAATGTACATACACGTGTTTCGTAAGTCGACCCACACTGCGACTTCTCTCGATGTATGTGACGCATTGATAGGTGATTTCATAACGAGTATAAAAATGAAGATGGGAAAATATCAAACCTCGAATTGGAAAATTCCGAAGTTGCACGACCTTATGCATCTGAGAACATGTATAGAGCGATCCGGTGTCCCCGACACCTTCGCAGCTGATGTATGGGAGCATCATCATCAGAGGTATTGCAAACAACCATATTTGGCATCGAACAAGTGCAAGGCTGCTTCCCAGATGGTGAATCATGTCCGATGCTCATTGGCTTTGCAGGATGAGATGGAGATTGTAAGAAAACGAAGAAAGAGGTCGACAGAAAATTGGTCATCCGTGACAGACTGCATGGCCACCGGAATTAATACCCTCGCAGCGCGCGACACAGCAACTCTACAACTCCAGTGGTTCCAGATGAACGGTGTGCATTTGCCGGAGGTGGAGGGTATAAGCAACGCGGTATTGAGAATACTTAACGAGCTTCCCTGCAGGTAATGAAGGGTCTGCCACTTTCAAAACCGGGTAATTGATCAAACATTTCTTCAGACGCTTGAAAGACATCGTGCAGTTTGAATCCCACTTCCAAATTACTTCTTTTTTAAGCAATCTGCGAAGGGGAGCAGCTATTATCGTGAAGTGTCGTACAAGCTTGCGATAGTAGTTGGCTAACCCAAGGAACGACCGCAACTCAGTTAAGGTGCGGGGGTTCGGCCAATCTCTGATTGCTGCTATCTTGGCATCTTCCGGTTTGACCCCATCTCCATCAATCACATGTCCTACGACGTTCATGAGCGAGAACGGTTGTCAACCTCCATCTGATGACCAAGTGATAAACACTCGAACACACTTGACTATCGCCTGCACATACGACGGGACGCACAGGGGTGCATGCGTTCAAACGGCAAGAGCTTTACCACAGTTCCACGGGAGAGCTGTGCACAACGATGTTGCAGTGAGAGGTGGGAATGACAACATATGATATGCATCAGTAGCCATGTTTTTCGTCATGAACACTTGCACAGGGGGTGTTGCAGAGATGCACAGGTGTTGTTTTGTGCAATGGTACAAAGAGGTGGATAGCGAAAGGGAACACACAACAGATTGTAAGAAGTTGCAATGGGAGAAGGTAAACGGTCATCAGCACAGTAGCGTCATAACGATTGACACCATCATCGAGATCGTTCACATTGTTCCTCGTCTTTTTAAACCACAATGGGGCTCGAAGAAGCATGCAAAAGAGAGGGAGGACAATTTTTTGTTGAATAAATATATAGTCTAGAAGTGTACATGGAATTAGAGAGAAAAAAAGAAAAAAAAAAATTCAAAGGCTGACCATTTTTCGGAGAATAATCTGTGGTGGGCGCAGTCGCAATTTTATAGTACATCATCAGTTCAGCTTTTGTATTTCTTTTAGAGAGAGAGAGAGAGAGAGAGAGAGAGAGAGAGAGAGAGAGAAGCGTTTGAACGACAATAGTAATTTTGTAAAGATGGAGTTCAAATATCGGTAGATTTTTAAAGCGGCGAGACTATATTTCAGACCGGCACGATTGTGCTAGATGGAACAACACGGTTGTGAGACTGTTTTTTTTCGCACGGACAAGGTTGTGTTACAGCGTTGCATAACTTTTATGTCATCTTACACAGCAATGTAGACAAAGGTACATCAAAGCAGTGTGTATGACGAAGGTAACTTCAGAGTTGACTACTGCGTGCACATGTATGGTGAACGTGGACTTAAGAAGTGGCAGGTGGCACGCACTAGCCAACCTATGTCTATACTTGCGTGCGATAAAAGGTCATGACGTCACAGGAAACCGTCATTCTGCCTCGCAGTATTCTCTCTCTCTCACACACACACACACACACACACACACACACACACACACACACACACACACACACACACACATTGTCGAAAGACTTACCACTAAAGCCGAGTAATTGACAAGATGTGCTTCATGGCCATATGACTGCCATGTGGACAGGAAATGTTGAGGTCGAGGTAACGCCAGAACGACAGTCTGCAGTGGGAGAAGTGTCAAGACAGCAAGCGAAACAAAAAAAGCGTTTTCAGGAATTGTGGAGAAGCCGATTTAGACTGACACTAAAACCTTTGTCCATCAACCGTGACATCTGTTGTATGACAGAGAATGAGGGGTGTTCAGATGAACGAATCTTACAAAATGAACAAGGGGGTAGATGGTAAGGGTTGTATCATGGGCTCAAAAGCGACGGACAGTTCAGAAACAACAAGGAATGACGAACAGTCATGTGGACCAAGTGTCACCGAACCGTTGCTCCTATTGATCAGCGAGAGATCAGTGAAGCGATGGAAGAGGATACTGGAGGACCCGTGGTATGCGGAAATGTACCAGATGATGACCACAGATGACGTCCAATATCCTCAGATGGTGCATGAACCTTTGTTCAGTATTGAAGGGGGCGAACGGTCGAGAGGTACGGTTGCAGAGGCTGGAAAGAGGCCTGAGAGGGTGGACGAGGAACACTTGTTCCCGTTCACGTGGAAATCAAGAAGACACGCCATAGCGATAACGAAACGGAATGTATTGCGATTGGGTGCGAAGCAGTGGCTGAACGACGACGTGATCGATATGTACTTACAGTCCATCTATGTAGAACATTTCCCTGCAGAGGACAACACGACACTTCATGTTTGCACAACTTTCTGGCATCCCGCAATCATCGCCAATCAGAAGGTTTATGTCGCGAAAGCAGGATGGCAGGAGCGGATCAAGAGTAGACCTGCAAAGCTGCGTCGAATAAGCAATGAACTACGAATGACAACTGTTGTTCTTATCCCTGTGAATCACAAAAACCATTGAAAATTGCTCTTGTTACTGAATGTCGGTCGTTTTTTGGTAGTCACGGAGGACAATGATGGGCAGAAACGACCTGTTCTGATCGTCATGGATTCCTTTCAACAGAGCGACTGACAGAAATGGAATGCGTTGCGCACATTTTTGTGGTATGAATACCTCAACGAGGCAGACAAAGCAGGGGTGTTGACTCCCGAGACCGTGGACACGTCGTGGGTGACATGCAGAGATCTACTTGGATCTAAAATAGTAAATGCGGAATGTTTGCAACAGACCAATACGTCGGACTGTGGTGTTTACGTTTGTTGCTTGGCAGCTGAATTGATTCGAAAGCTAACAAACATGATTAAGGGAACGAACATAACCGCAAAATATATAACAGAAGTTGTTACCGCGAAAGAGGTCAACGAACGAACGGTCGAGAGATCTCGTCAGTCAATGGTACAGCGCTTTGCGCAGTGTGCTGCAATGGCAAAATGATATAACACCGCAGCAGCGCGTGACATAGAAAATGTCTTCAGAGATCTCATAGACGGAACACGGAGTGAAACTTCGTAATTACAAGGCCATGATAGATACCCGACATCGAAACACGAAGTTGACAACCGCATGCAATTATACAAAACTCGCATGTCGTAGAGAAGCCAATCGGCACGCAGTAGCCAACTTGTGCATGTTACTTGATGGATGAATGCGTGATGTATCATAGAAAAAAAATGTCGTCTTTCATGTCACATCGACTCTCTCTCTCTCTCTCTCTCTCTCTCTCTCTCTCTCTCTCNTCATGTCACATCGACTCTCTCTCTCTCTCTCTCTCTCTCTCTCTCTCTCTCTCTCTCTCTCTTTTTTTTTTTTTTTTTTTTTCTCTCTCTCTCTCTCTCTCTCTCTCTCCCTGCGTGTGAAAATCTCGCGTACGGTGGCGGATGACAAATGGTCGTTGCATGTGCCAAAATCATTCCATGTCTAACGTGAGTGTTTGTGAATTCATGCATATCAAAAGTTTTTCATAAGGCTGAAGAGAATGACTCCGAAGCCAAGGTACGAGGATCTGTGCAAGTCCTTGAAGTCCACAGGGAGGAGAGAGAAGGGGGAGAGGACAGCAAAGGAAGAAAAGAAGACAATCAAGCAAAGACATACCAGAAGGGATATTCCCCAATTCAAGAGATAGGAGACGAACACAGGCCGCAGGACAGAAGCAATGCTCTCTGTCCCGCCGCGGAAAAAGCAGAGGGGGAAACTGGTCGAACATAACAAACCACCTGTCGTGAGTCCCCCGCGGCAGAAAAGACACGGCGACAGTGAGAGGCAGCCCCCAAGAGCGCCAGAGAAGAAAAGACGAGAAGAAAAAACACAGTTGCAACAACAGAGGACAAAAAAGATAATAATTTACAGAAAAGACAGGACTCCTGAAGCAATCGACCTCAGAGGGTCATACGATTTACGAACCACCGCTCAGGAGAAAGGTAAACAAGAAGACTCCGGCGAATAAATGTCAGAAGAAGTAGAACATGAGAAAATGCAAGAACGAGGAGAAGGTGACGACAGTGACGCTGACCATGATGTCGATGCAGAGGAGAGCAATCCGGAGGGAGATAGCACCGGCGACAACACGGACAGATCCGAGGAGGGCGAAGAGGAAGAGGAAGGCAACAGTGAAGACGAAGAAAGAGATATTACATCTGCTGAAAACAGTGCGAAATACGGAACAACTGAAAAAAAAGCAGACGCACTAGAGAATTCATCGAACGGCAAACAAATTGTGCAGAGGGAGAATGTACCGCTACAGGGTAAGATGAAGGGCGCCTTATAAAGACATCACTATGTGTGCTCATCACAGTCGTTTTCAGTGCTGCAGAAACGACTAGGTTCACTGAGCTGGGGGGGGGGGGGGGGGGGGGAGGGGGCCGGGGGCAAGGGGTTGGGGGTGGTAGGGGGTTACGAAGTGTGTTCGGGGGTGGATCGGGAAGGGGTAGTGGCGGTCTTATGTTTGTTTCTGAATGCAATACATAAAACGCATATCGCGGAGGGTCTTCTTATTACTAAATAATCAATCTGTTGGTCTTTTTTTTTTTCTTTCCAGATTGCACTAATTTGCAAAGACGAAGCAGCATAGGTGGAGGTAATGCTGACGAACCAACAGAGCAACAAACCGGGGGTTTTACAAAGAAAATGAAAGACAGACTGTTTCGTTCAGTGGCGAAGGCCTTTGCTTTTTCAGCAGCAAAGGATGCGACGCTATACCCATCGGAGGACAATTTTTTCACGGCACTGCAAACAACTGCCAAATTGATAGGAAAACATGCGGAGGAAGGACTACGGTTGCACGTGGCAGCGAACGGAATCCGAGCTGTGATCGGGGAATGCAATCGGATTATGACAACGGTCCGAGGCGAGATATCATAGCAATTGAAGCATTGGTTTTGGGCCGAAAAAGGTCTGCCGCTGGTCCGGTCAACTCAAACGGATCACCAGCTTCCGACTCGCAACAGGATGCGGGCAGAGATGAAGGGGAACACAACACGGAGAAGGAGCGGCAATGATCCGTGGGGCGCTCCTCCTTTCAAGACAGTCCTGACAAAAGTTTTTCAAATGAGAAGAGATGGCATCAACCTCGGCGTAACGTTGCAACAACTAGCATTTGCGGAGCTGGTACTCAAAAGTGAAGTCGAGCAGATGGCAAAGACCAGTAAAGCAGCGGACCAAATACAGAAACTTGCAGCTATCAAGAAAGAGATTGCTGCATCGGTCCGCTCCCGAGACACAGTCTTAAGGTTTTCTATCTTCAAGCTCGACCGTGCTGTTTCTGTTGCAAACAAGGTCGTCGCATTGTACAAAGCTGGGTTGCCTGCTGTGCAGAGGGGAGACGTTAATAACATGACTGCAACAGATGATGATTTTGACCTCGAGTTCATTGCGCACACCGTGGACAAATGTGCGGGCAGAGAGAGAGACGAAGAAAGTTTGTGCGCAAGGCCGTGAAAAGGAGAAGGGGTCTGGAAGTGGATCGAGGGGGGTTGGGGATGAAACAATGCCAGGGTGGGGAGGAAGGTGGACAATGGTGTTGGAGGGGATATGAGCTGCACCTCCACTGACTGTCAGTGCCATGACACACAACCAATGAGGACCAAAGTGTAGAGAGAGAGAGAGAGAGAGAGAGAGAGAGAGAGAGAGAGAGAGAGAGAGAGAGAGAGAGAGAGAGAGAGAGA